ACATTATTTTAAAATCCTGACCTGAAAGGGAACCTGAATACCATCTAGAAATCAGCATGGAGCACCAACTCTGCTAGTTCTGCCTGACTTCTGCACTGTCTTCCCCCAGGCCTCCTTCTCTCTGCCAGTCTGTTGACATGCCTTGTTTCAGCTTTGTCCAGCAGAGGGAACATGTGAGCTAAGCCTGCACCATCCCCGCTGTCAACTGTTCAATTGGATGCTTTCATGCAGGAAAGTCCTATGGGCTCCACATGGCAGATGGAGACACCGAAGCGTGCAGCTGATGAATGGTCAAGAGAAAGGGTCAGCAAGCTGGGGCTCACGAGCCATATATGGCTCTTTCGGGATGTATGCGTGGCTCTGAAGCAAAACTGAAAATGAAAAATACAACCATTATTCAGAAAATCATGATTTCATTTGTTTGTAACAATATATTTATGGCCCTTGAATCATTTGTTTAATTGTTGTGAGAGACAGGATTGGCTCTTCTGTTTCAGAAGCTTGCCAAGCCCCTGGTCAAGGGGATCAGAATCTAGGCTGGGCAGAATTGTCCCCAGCCCGCTGCTGCCGGCTAGGGATCAACAGCATCACCAGGGTAGACTTGAAGTCTTTCAAAAGCAGATATCTTGGAAGAAAGGCCTGGCAATCTACTTCCAAAAGCCACACACTGAAAACCCTATGGATCACAAGAGAGCATGGTGGATACATTTGCTTTGAAACGTGGGGAGGAGGGCTCCATCCCTGGGGGACATTCCTATCTGGTGAAGGGGAGGGCCTCTCAGTGAGATGGGCGGGTACCACAACCACAATGATGGATCCAAACATGTCCACCTGTAGTATTAAATTTAACAAATTGGCGCTGGGGAGTGGGGTGCCAGCCCCCACCCGCTGCTACTACTATTGCTACTACTCGGATTCAGTAATACTACTTCTGGGCTCAGTAATGCACAATTGTACGGTTGAGATATATAAGTATTATATTAAAGTCATCAAGAGCATGAGAGATAATACAATGATACAGTCAGACACGTTACATGGCAACATTGCTCACCTCAGCCCAGCTTAGTGGTCCACGTGGAGAGAGGGGGAAGGGAAGGAGGGTAAGGAAACAAGGGAGAGGGGAGTGAGCAGCAAGGAGCTCAGAGTCAGAGGAGTCCGAGAAGTCCGAGAGCCCTATATTGCTGACTCACGCCTATATAACTGTTGGGGGCATGCCAGCCCACTAATTACAGGTAGAGACATACATCACAGGGAGGGGCTGTACTATAGGTTACACAGTAATGAAGGGATGGCCTAGGGGGTGGTCTCTGGGTTTCTATAGGAACCCTTATCAGTAGGGTGTAAGCCCCTCCAAGCTAATGGTCTCAAGCTTCAGAGAGAAGTAGTCCATTGTCTCCAGCAGCAGGGAGCAGGCCCAGCCCTGCTGTGGGATGAGACAGCAGTCTGGCAATTGATAGCCCTCAGGGGGGGAAGTGCCTGCGCATCTGACCTCCCCCCACATCCACCATCATGAGGATGAAGCAGGGCTGGGTGTCATTTTCCTGTTAAGCATGAGAGTGCCAGGAGGTGGGAGTCAGATGGAAGGCCACTACCTACCTCTCTGTCCTGAACCAAGCACAGGCTTTATAAAGAATACTACAGCCTAAAGATGGAAACAACCTATATATCCCTCAACAGATGATACAGGAAGATTACTCCGTTATAAAGGGAGAGAAAGTCTTGGTACATACCACCACATGCTGAACGCTGAAAACATTAGGCTGAATTAAGCCAGACATGAAATATGATCCCCCTTACACGTGCTTATTCTAGATTCTTCATGTCCTTGGGGCATGCTATCAGAAGGAAGCAGTCCTAGAAAAGGACTTCGGGCTTGGTCAGAGAGGGTCCTCGAAAAAGAGGAAGACCCTCGAGGACCCATATCGACACAGTGGCTGCAGCATGTTTGAGTGGGCTCAAGCGTACCAATATGGAGGCTGGCACCAGACTGAGCAGTGCTTCCTTCTGTTATACATTGAGTTACTGTGAGTCAGAACGAATACCACACAACACACAGCCCTACGGTTCTGAAAGGTCGCTCGAGGAAGGCAGGAGGGAGAAGAGGGTCCCTCAATGCTTTGGTGATGCTGAGCTTCTGAGAAGAGTGCTAGAACAATTTTGGAAACAGGTAGGGTGATGGTTGGATGTGATATCATTAATGTCACTGAGCTGTACATAGAAAAATGTTGAGATGGCAAGGGTTTTTCCTGTATTACACATTTCACCACAAAGTGGCAGAAGCAGGTAGGTCCTTTCATTCACTTTGGGAAATCTTCAGTCTCACAAGCTTCCATTCTGCCTTCCTCCACCAGGAAGCACGATCCAGTCCAACTCCCATCCCAGATGAAGGATTGGACGAGGAGTGCTCCGGAGAGCCCACTGGCACCAGAATCCAGGGCCCAGACACCCAACCTCAAAAGCAACCCCTTTCATGAGGCCTACCAACACTGGCAGCCACGCCATTGCTTTCTGTCCATTCTCTAAGGGCTGGCGATGGCTGGGCTCTGCTAGTGATGCAGGTGGGGAGTTAGTCTTCTAGAAACATCACGTAACTAGGCATCTAGTTGGTGGAGTTTCAGTTTGCTCTAGGGGACCCGGGTTATAACAGCCCCCTCAATAGTAAGCTTGTACATGCTTCAGGAAGCATAAAAGGGGAAGCCAGCAGACCATTTAAATAAGCATGCTTGGGAACTGCTAATTATCTCCTGGACTGGCTGAAAAATCTGCTAATTATTCAGGATGCAGGAAGGGGGCATTTGGATAAGCAAAGGCTAAAGTCTTAAGGGGTACTGGTCTGACAGCCCCTGGAGTAAGCAAGCTATCAATTGATGGTCTGATAATCCCTTGGGGAAATGTAAACTGTTTCCTGTGAAACTTGCTCCCTTTGTCCCATAGCATGAAGATCTTCTGATGTTTGTCAAACTTGTTAACTATGCCCGCTGAACTGCCAGGAAGTCTGGGGCAGATGCGGGTAACCAGGTTCTCACTGGATCTTGGTAACCAACCCAGAAGCAGAAACCTGGCTGTCTGCCTTCTGTCAAGTGCTTACAGGAATGCTTTTGGCCCTACAGTGACAGGCTCTCCCAGACCCCTTGCCGCTGACTACAGTAGTTGTGTGACCTTGATCTAAAAATCATTTAGCCTCCCTGGACTCACTGGCGAAGAGCCCTGGTGGTGTAGTGGGTTCAGCTTTGGGCTGCTAACCAGGTCAGCAGTTCAAAACTACCAGCTGCTCCTCCAAAGACAAGGCTTTCTACTCCCGCAGAGGCGGTTGTCTCAGAAACCCACAGATCCGAGTCAGGATGGAGTCAAGAGGTTTTTGTGTTGTGACTCAGTAGGGAGGCCAGTTGTTTCTCAGACTCAACAGCTACACCTCTCCTTAACATGACTGCTGATTCTCAAGTCCTTCTGCCTTGGAGCTGAACATTTGTAATAGGTTTTAACAGTCACCACCTATTATTTACAGCAGCAGCCGTTTTTAGATGTGAAGGCGATATGATACAATGGAGCAGCTTGCCAACAGATGTGCTCTAAATATCCTTCCCAAGCTTCCGGTTGGCTGATACGATGGCTTCCCTCAAGGTACCGGTGAGCAGACTGGCTCCTTTTAAGGCTTGCATTCATGTAAGCAGTTGTACCAGCCCCAGCACATGCACACACAGCACAGAAGAGTCGATGCCTGTAAAATCAGTCGTTCTCAACTGTCCTAATGCCTCGACCCTGTAATACAGTTCATGTGGTGGTGAGCCCCAACTATAAAATTATCTTTGTTGCTACTTCATAACTGTCATTTTGCTACTGTTATGAATTGGGCGACCCCTGTGAAAGTCATTTGACCCCTATAGGGGTCAAGACCCACAGGTTGAGAACTGCTGCCTTAAATGAAACAGATGGCAAATATTGCATACACAATGTACTGCTGGGACAGACAAACTGTTATGGAACAAATACAGCTAAAATGCTCCTGAGGAAGGGAGAATGACAAGACTTGGTCTCACCTACTTTGGAAAATTGATCAGGAGGGACCAGCCTCTGGAGAACATCTTACTTGGTAGAGGGGTCAGACCCTCAAGCAGATGGATTGACAAGGGGCTATAACAGTGGGCTCAGGTCCAGCGAGACTGAGGATGATCTAAGACTGGGCAGGGTGGTCCTGTTGCATGGGTCAGTCAGCACCCAGCATGCCTTGCCACTTACACTCTATTATCAAGCTGCATCCCATGAGCTGGATGGAGAGCGACCGCCAAATCAGATCCCGACTGCTTTTGCTGCAGTTTGAACCCTAATTACAAAAGGTCCATTAGGGAACTTTCCCCATAGATCTTTACAATGGTTTATGTCTGGGGTCTATTAGCACTTTCTGATGGGGCTTTCTACAGTCTAGGAAGCCCATAGCATCAGTTCTACTCTGTCCTATGAGCTACTGTCCTATAAGGTCACTGAGTTGGCAGTGAGTTTGGTTTCCATTAGATACTACTTGCAATACCATCCAATACTGTCAACATCAGGGCCAACTCTATTTTTCTAATGAGGTGGGCTCCTGGTGGCCAAGGCCAGCAGTTTAAGGGAGAAAGATGAGGCAGACTGCTACAGCCTTAGAAAACCACAGGCTTCCTACTGTCCTGGTCACCCAGATGGAATTGACTGGATGGTAGTAGAGTTGGGTCCACTAGGCTCACACTACTGTTAGCTACCATCAAGTTGAGTCCAGCCCAGCAGCAACCCCCTGTGGGTCAGAATAGAATTGTTCCCCATGGGGGTTTTAGGGTGGTGACCTAGAAGTTGTGCCCAATTTGTGTCATCCAAGGCACTTCTGGATGGGTGTCACAATTAAAGAAAATGTCCGAACCCAGCCCTCCCAGAACATTTCTATCATTGGCAACTAAGCTCTAGTGTGCACAGGGCTGCTAGACCATCTGGCTCTGGAGTTTATTTATTGAGAACAAATGGGAAAACAACAGTTCAAACCAAAAGCCTTACATTATTTATTGTTAGACTTGATGAGGAAGCAAAAAACGAATAAATCAGATTTGCCAATAAAAGATCATTTGATCAGATGGGGACGAAAGTCTTAATGCAACACAACATGATTTGAGACTGGGAAAATGCGGTCATGCGTGCCATCCCTCCTTACAGACCCAGCTTGGTTCTTCTCCAATGTCTTCTCTTGGAGTTGTACCTACACAGAGGGAAATAGCTCGTTACAAAGTCAGCCCCAACTCCATTACCCGCTAACAACTTGGATCCATTCAGACACAGGGCCTTGATTCTAACCCCCCCCTTTCCTTTTTAGAGGACAGCAAAATGGAAGCTCCCCAAGTTCCTACCCAATTTTCATATAGCTCAACCCCTCCACCCCCAGAGCAATAGCTGGCCAGGAGCTACTGTCAAGTCATAATTGTACATGCTAACCGGTCATGATCTCACCTGAAGAGGCAAAACCAGAGCCGGCCAACATGGCTTTTTCTCTCAGCAGGATAATGGCAGTACTTCCACAAACTGAAGTACTGTAATTGCAGCCTGCTTTCAATACAAATCACCTTTCCAGCTCGGAGCCCACCCTAAGCCAAGGGCCCTTGGATAAGTCACACCAGGCCACGCCAGCCAGACTGGGCTGGGCTTCCAGGTAGTGCCTGCATTCCTTATAACCACCTAGCAAGGGACTTCCCAGCAGATGGGGCAACTGATGTCCAGGCTGAGAGCAAGAGAAAAAAAAGGGGGGGGGGCAGGCACAAAGGTTCTGCTCCAGAGCTAGGAGTCCTGATGGCACAGTGATTGCACACTGATCTGCTTACTGCAAGGCCAGCAGTTTGAAACCATCAGCTGCCCTTCAAAGATGAACCTTCTACTTCTAGAAAGAGTTAGTCTCAGAAACATGGGCAACCCTACCCTGTCCTATAGGGTTGTCACGAGTCAGCATCGACTCAATGGCAGTGAGTCGCTATGGAGAACCACGATGCTCTCTCTCAACAGCAACTTATAGATCAGTCGCTCTCAACCTTCCCAATGCTGCGACCCTTTAATGCAGTTCCTCATGTGGTGGTGACCCCACACATAAAATTATTTTTGTTGCTACTTCATAACTAATTTTGCTACTGTTATGAATCAGTGACCTGAGTTTTAAAATCTAGTTTCATCTAAGAGTGAAACAAACACCCCTATACAATACTAGCTGTACTTCGAAAATAACTCTCTGGCAACCTGGCGTCTGGGCAAACTCCCTCAACTGCTGCCCAGGAACATCTTCAAACTTTAAACCAAAAGCATTCGCTGAAGGCCTCTTAGAACCAAGCAATTGTTTATCTTACACACACAAACCCACTCTGCCTTGAACATTATGTTCGATTAAGGACTAGCTCCATGGGAGCAAATCGACAACTAAACAATGTTAGCTCCGAACCTTAGGGAGCAGGGAGTTTTTGTTAACGAGGGGGTTACCACTCAAAAAAAGCCGTACAAGAAGGAAGTGGATTGCGGGTAGCCTTACCTGATTTTATTACCGGTTTTCATTCGAATCCATTGGGGAATGGGCCGATTCTGTTTCTGTTTCTTGGCCAGGAATCTCTTGATCCTAAAAGTCTTATGAGATGACTGGGATGGGAAAGGGAAGGAAGACCCATTTAGAAAGACCACCCAGGTGATCCAATTAACATGCCGTCTGAGGCTGCAATACACACCGAACCGTAACCTCCAGGTGAAGCACAGTGTGCCCTGTGACCCTGCTCTGGCGGCAGTCAGCCCAATCCCCAGCGCAACTAAAAATCACAGCGCAGCAAGGAGTAGTTAGCCTGCTGCTCAGACCACATAGAGGGAAGCGAGTTGCTAGGGCAACTGGTTTCCTGGGAAAAGAGCCGATTTCAGCTACCTGGAACTGCCAATTTTTTGCAATTCCATGAGGCCCAGGGCGCTACTTTGTAAAATGGGGGTTGGTTAACTACTTTCAAGTGCCAGGAAGATTTCTTAGGATGCACCGTAATGTTTAGCCCATCTACTCCGCCCTACTCACCACCTTGGCAATGAATCCCAACCTTTAGGGTCTATTTATAAGACCGGGGGTTTTTTTCCTCTCAGTTTCCCGTTGTGCCTTTTTAAGGAGCCGGGTCGCTCTTCACCCAACTACCTCCTACGCCTCTGGAATACTCTCGGGCAATCTGTGCCAGTAAGCCCTTGCATACCAGGTGCCATGCCGGCGACAAGCCTCCAGCCTATGCTTCTGCCAATTGGTAAGCTACAAAAAGAACAGAGGAGCACATGGTACCCCCACATGCCTGCACCACGCGCGTCCACAAGTGGCCGCTCGGGTTCCAAGACGAAGTGAAAAATGACTAGAAAGTCCCACAACCCTGCGGTTCACTCCTCGGAGCCAAGGTCATTGTTTTCCCTGCCTAAACCCAGCAACCCATCTCCTCCTCTCGTACCCGGCCAAGTCGCACGGTCATGGGGAGCCCGCAGGGAGGCCTCGATTCAGTGATACCCGATGTCTCTCTGGGCCCCGGAATCGCCTTAGGAATTAGGGCCCCCACTTGGGACAGTGCAGAGAAAGGGACAGAAAGTTGGGGAATCCTCCAATCAGCCTGGGCGGCGGCAGTTCCACACTACCACCATACTCGACCTTCTCTTGGGGAAACATAAAAAGGGCCCCCGCACCTCGCCGCCCCGGGATGGTCTCTGGTCGCGGGAACCCGCCACGGAAGCCGATGGGGGCCGATGCACTTACCATGGTGAAGTCGGAGCAACACCACGCTCAGGATGGCAGAGACACTGAGAGAGGGAGAAGAGGGCGGAAGCGCGTTTTAGGACGTGTTCAAGAGGGCGGATCCTGGGAAGTGACGTTAGTTACGGTGCGACTCTGTCTCCAGACTGTGACGCGGTGGGGCCGTGAGAAACTGTGGTCACTCTATGTGACATTGAATTTGCTTTGATTCCGCTGCCACAAATAGATGGCCTCGGGAATTTCTATACGTTTGAGAGGGGTACCCTGTTTGGGTGTAAGTTAGAGGGAATCGTAATAAGTGCAAACGTGTAAGTCCCTCCGGATGCAGAGATAGGACAGAGGCGGGCATAACCCAAAAGAAAGGCAGAGGAGAGAGACGTCACGCTTAACGACGTCGGTCCTGTGCACGGAAGGAAGCGCGGGGAGGGGCACTGTCTGAGATCTCTGGGTAGAATTGACATCCATGTAGCTGCTGCTGCTGCTTTTTTTTAAGTAAATGTGCTGCTGAAGCGAGCACGCCCATGTAACTTCTGAAACTAACACTAGGGGGAATGGAGGGCTTCGTCTTTCTCCAGAAGAACTGCCAGGCCACCAGGGCTTCCGAGCCCAACAATAGCCCTATAAATTGAATAAAAGCACCAGGGAGGAGGAGGAGGAGTACACGCCTTAGAACAGGCAACCATATTAGACCAAAAGAGGTGGATAGTTGCTGAACAAAGCTCAGAAGGAAGGAAGGGGCAGGAAAAGTGAATGGAGGGACCGAAATCAATGTTAGGAAACAAATGTGTGAATTGTGGAATAGAAAACTTATTTGTTCTGTAAACTTTCACCCAAACTACAATAAAAATGAACACCTCCCCCCAAAGAAAACAACACAAAGAACAAAAACAAATCCCCTTCTTGAGGCCTTACAGCGCCCACCCAGAAACATCATATCCCCCTTCCCTGATTCTTTTCCCTCCCACGCACCTGGCCTTTTCTAAGAGCACATCTTTTTCTTATCGACTGCTTTTCTACCCACTGAAATATTAAGCCCCACGAATTGTCAATTCCCCTCACTGATGTAATAATCCCAAAACCTCGGACATAGTTTCCCAAATTTATTTGGCCTCCCATCCCCCTTTCAGAAAAGGAACTACTCAGTTCCCTACTGAAAATGCAAAAATATATATATATTATTGCCCCCAATCCAGGATAAAGTTCATGTGACCTGCTTCTGCACCACCCTCTGGCTCATTCCAGCCCCTCCAAAGGAGTGGGATCACGGTTTGGGGAAACGCTGGCCTTGAACATGAATGGCACATGGCATCCGCTCGAAAAAGCGAATGCATGAATGATGATGGCCTGAATTTAGCGGTGTGTAGATCCGATGGATAAGGAATCTGGAGGTGTTTTTAGAGCTATGACCCTTCACACTCTCTTTTTCAATGTGGTTTTGTTTTTTTTTTTGGTTACAGAATATGTTACAAAGAAAACCATAGTCGATGGAGTTGCACAGCCCCTGCCAGCAAATCAAGTCAGTAACTGTTTCCCATAAAACCCCACCCAGAGACGTGGGGTTTCCCCCTCCCTCCAGTTTTCTTTCCTTGCCCCTCGCCCTGACCACCTTGTAGTCATTACAGTCTTATCCTTTGGAAGGAAAACATTTTTATTTTTTGTTATGATAATGGTGTCACAAAATATTTATCTTTATGGGATTAACTATCTCCGCTAAGCATAATGTGCTCTAATTTTGTCCATGTCTTATGGTGTTTAAAAGACTCATCATTGTTTTTCAATGATACATGATATTCCATTGTATGGATGTACCTGAGTTTATTCTTTCCTCTATGGTCAGGGATTTGATCATTTCCATCTTTTTGCTATTATAGAAATTGCTGCAATAAATATGTGTGCCTATGCCTGTGCTTTGTTGTTTCTTTAGGGTGTATACCAAGGGGCAAGATTGCAGGATCATAAGGTATTTGCGTTTGTTTAAGGAAGCATCATACTGACTTCCATAGTAGTTGTAAAATTCTACAATCCTGAGTCAATCAGGGTGCACCGATGAAACGCAATACTTCCCTGGTTCCTTGAAGCTTCCTCACTCCCCACTATCATGACCCTAGTACTGCCTTTCACTGTGGGCTAGACCAGAGCATGTGGACAAGTTCGAATAAGACATAAGAGCTCACAACACAGAGAATCCAAGAACAGGAATGGGAGTAGCGATACCAGGAGGGCAGGGGGAAGGTGGGGATAGGAAGGGAGGAAGAGGGAACAGATCATGATGATGGACACATAACCACATCCCCCTCTCAGGGGGCTGAACAACAGGAACCGTGGGGGAAGGGAGACAGCAGCCGGTGTAAGGTATGAACATAATAATAATTTATCAAGGTTCCAAGAGGTGGGGGCGTGGAAGAAGGAGGGAAAAAGAGGAGCTGACACCAAGGGCTCAATAGAAAATAGATGTCTAGGAAATAATGATGGCAACATATGTACACACGTGCTTGATACAATTGATGTATTGATTGTTACAAGAGCTGTAAGAGCCCTCAATAAAATATTTTTAAAGAAATTTACAATCCCACCAGCAGTGTGTAAGCATTTCAATCTCTCTACATCTTCTCTAGCAATTAAAAAAATTTTTCTGCGATTATCAGTGAGGTGGCATCTCCTTGTTTTGTCTGTTATTACTGGTGAAGGCAAACATTTTTTTTTTGAGCTTCTGTTTTAGACATTTTTTTAAAATTTATTTATTTATTTAACATTTTATTAGGGGCTCATACAACTGTTATCCCAATCCATACACACATCAATTGTGTAAAGCGCATCCGTACATCGTTTCTCAAAACATCCTCTCTCCATTTAAACCCCCGACATTAGGTCCTCATTTTTCCCCTCCCTCCCCGCTCCCCCCTCCCTCACGAGCCCTTGATAGTTTACAAATGGGTATTTTGTCATATCTTGCCCTGTCCGACGTCTCCCCTCATCCACCCCTCGGTTGTCTGTCCTCCAGGGAGGAGGTCACACACAGCTCCATGCAATCGGTTCCCTCTTTCCTACCCATTCTCCCTTTACCCTCCCTGTTTTGCCACTCACACCACTGGTCCTATAGGGCTCATCCGTCCTGGATTCCCTGTATTTTCAGTTCCTATCTGTACCAGTGTACCTCCTCTGGTCTAGCCTGACTTGCAAGATCGAATTCGAGTCATGGTAGTGGGAGCGGGGAGGAAACCTTTAGGAACTAGAGGAAAGTTGTATTTCTCATCATTGTTACATCGCACCCTGTCTGGCTTGTCTTCTCCCCGAGACCCCTCTGCAAGGGGATCTCCAGTGGCCTACAGTGGGCTTTGGATCTCCACTCCGCACTCCCCCCATCGTTCACTATGGTAAGATTTTTTTGTTCTGATGATGCCTTACACGAAGGCAAACATTTTTTCGCATGCTTGTTGGCCACTTGGATGTCATCTTCAGTAAATTGTCTATTCATACCTTACTTGTGCCCATTTTTTAGTTGGGTTTAATTTGTATTTTAATTAAGGTGTTGTCATTTTCTATAGATTTTTGAAATTAGCCCTTTAGCTCTCAGTGCTAAATCATTTGTCCCAGTCTGTGGATTCTCTTTTAACTCTTTCAATGAGGTGTTTTGATTTGCATAAATGTCATATTTTTAGAAAATCCCAGTACTCTATTTTGTCATGTGAAGGGTGGGCATTTTTCATTGTTTGATAGTGTGTTTATGCCTTGTATTTGGGCCTTTAAGTTTGTTCCTATTTTGTCGTTGATGGTCTTCATTTTTTCAAAATAACTGCCAGTTAATCGATTCCAACTCACAGCAACCTTATAGGATGGTGTAGAACTGCCCCTGTGAGTTTCCAAGACTGTAAAGTCTTTTTTTAAAATTTTTATTTATTTATTTATTTTGACTGTAACTCTTTAGAGGAGGGGAAAGCCTCATCTTTCTCCAGCTGAGCAGCAGCTGATGTTTTGAACCGATGACCTTGCAGTTATTGGGATATGTAACCACTGCACCACCAGGGCTCCTTTTATGGTTCTAAAGTTTATATTTAGGTCTCTACCCAATCTTGAGTTTGTTTTTGTACATGATGTGAGATGTGGGTCCTGTTTCATTCCCTAAACTATCCCTTTTTCACATACCCTGGACATACCTTCCCCAAGTCCTGGCACCCCTTGAACTTTTCCCTCCTTCCCTGAGCATCACTTCTCTCCACCAGAGCAGCTAATCCCTTGTGACTGGAAGCTCTAGGAGGGCAGGGATCATGTTTTGCTGATTACCATATTCTCAGCACACAGTTGGAGGTGCTTTATGTTCAGACATCCATCCTGTCATTATTTCAGATGAAAGAAATCAAGCTCGCAACCGAAGGTGACAATGGAATGTCCTTGCTTTTCTATTGCTTACAACAGATCTATGATTTCTTCTAAATACAAAATTATGATTGATGAGGAAGTAGTCCCCCCACCAACCCTGGCCCTGACCCCAACCTCGAGAGAGCAAAGAGATGAACTGGAGGAGGTGCTGTTGGAAAGGGAAGTCAATCCAATTCCAGCAGGAGGGAAGCTCCTTCCAGTCTCACCAGTTCATCTGGTTTGGGGATTTTCCCCAACAGCCTTAACCCAGTGTTGGACTAGCAAGACAAGTGGAACAACAGGGCCCTGCTGACCTGGAGCAGCCTAGGGTGGCGGTTGAGTAAAGGAGGTAAGCCATGCCAACTCATGACTCATGGTTCAAGTGTCCCTCCTCCTAGTCACATTCTTTCACTTAGGCTTCCTTTTTTTTACCTGCTGTCTGAAACCCACACTCTTGGTTATCACTTTCCTTGGATAGTCATCCTCCCTACCAGAGCTTTTAGCGTCTAAACATGTTGTCAATATTGTCTCATTTCAAGTTAGTACCTTAACACCTATTGTTCCCTGAGTTAGTTTATTGTGCCAACCTGGCTGCTAAACACATGTGGGATTAATTGAAGGGTGGAGGGATAAATGGCTTGGTGAGCTACGCCTTTCTAGTTCATGGGTCTCCTGCTTTGTGATGGTCGCACCAGGGTACAGCTCCCTTATCAGTTCCAGCTGCAGCTTGCAAGGCTGACTTCCTGCAAGACATCCCCAAGGAGAAGCCATATGGACCT